AAAAAACAACACAAAAACAATCAAAGTATGCAGGGAGAGGCAAGCCGAACACACTGGCGCCGCCATCTTGCTTGATCTTGACTCCAGACTTCAACTGATGTCCACTTGGGGCAGGACCTCCTCCCTGACCCGGAGAGGGCACTCTACCCTTTTCCGGCTCAAGACCATGGCCTCGGATTTGGAGGAACTGATCCTCACCCCGGCCGCGTCACACTCGGCTGCGAACCGCTCCAGCGAAAGCTGTAGATCACGGTCTGATGAAGCCAATAGGACCACATCATTTGCAAAAAGTAGAGGCGCAATCCTAAGGCCACCAAAACGGATCCCCTCAACACCTTGGCTGAGCCTAGAAATTCTGTCCATAAAAGTTATGAACAGAATTGGTGACAAAGGGCAACCTTGGCGGAGTCCAACTCTCACCGGGAACAAGCCCGACCTACTGCTGGCAATGCGGACCAGGCTCTGACACCGGTCATACAGGGACCTAACAGCCCGTATCAAAGGGCCCGGTACCCCATACTCCCAGAGTACCCCCCACAGGGTTCCCAGAGGGACGCGGTCGGACGCCTTCTCCAAATCCACAAAGCACATGTAGACTGGTTGGGCAAACTCCCACGCACCCTCCAGGACCCTGCTGAGAGTGTAGAGCTGGTCCAGTGTTCCACGGCCAGGATGAAAACCGCACTGCTCCTCGTGAATCCGAGGGTCGACTATCCGACGGCCCCTCCTTTCCAGAACCCCTGAATAGACCTCACCAGGGAGGCTTAAGAGCGTGATTCCCCTGTAGTTGGAACACAATCTACGGTCCCCCTTTTTGAATAGGGGGACTGCCACCCCGGTCTGCCAATCCAGGGGAACTTCCCCCAATGTCCACGCAATATTGTAGAGTCGCGTAAGCCAACACAACCCTACAACATCCAGAGCCATAAGGAACTCCAGGCGAATCTCATCCACCCCTGGGGCCCTGCCACCGAGGAGCTTTTTAACCACCTCGGTGACCTCAGCACCAGAGATTGGAGGGCCCGACCCAGAGTCTCCAGGCTCCGCTTCCTCAGTGGAAGACGTGCCGGTGGGATTGAGGAGGTCTTCAAAGTATTCTGCCCACCGACCCACAACATCCCAAGTTGAGGTCAGCAGTACACCACTCCCACTATAAACAGTGTTGGTGGCGTACCGCTTTGCCCCCCTGAGATGCCGGATGGTGGACCAGAATCGCCTCGAAGCCGTGCGGAAGTCATTCTCCATGGCCTCTCCGAACTCCTCCCATGCCCGAGTTTTTGCCTCAGCAACCACCCGAGCCGCATGTCGCTTGGACTACCGGTACCCATCAGCTGCTTCCGGGGTCCCACAGGCCAAAAAGGCCCAATAGGACTCCTTCTTCAGCCTGACAGCATCCCTCACTGCCGGTGTCCACCACCGGGTTCGAAGGTTGCCGCCGCGACAGGCACGACAACTTTGTGGCCGCAGCTCCGGTAAGCCGCCTCGACAATAGAGGCACGGAACATGGCCCACTCAGACTCAATGTCCCCCACCTCCCCCGAAACATGTTCGAATTTCTCCCGGAGGCGGGAGTTAAAACTCCATCTCACAGGAGACTCTGCCAGACGTTCCCAGCAAACCCTCACAATACGCTTGGGTCTGCCAGGTCTGACTGGCATCCTCCCCCACCATCGGAGCCAACTCACCACCAGGTAGTGATCAGTGGACAGCTCCGCCCCTCTCTTCACCCGAGTGTCCAAGACATGTGGCCACAGATCAGATGAGATGATGACAAAGTCGATCATCGAACTGCGGCCTAGGGCGTCCTGGTGCCAAGAGCACATATGGACACCCTTATGCTTGAACATGGTGTTCGTTATTGACAATCCATGACGAGCACAGAAGTCCAACAACAGAACACCACTTGGGTTCAGATGGGCCGTTCCCAGGGAATAAAAAAAGGTCAAATAAAAAATATTTTCGTAAAATCTTACACAGTTACTGTCATCCTTTAATGACTCTACAAAAACTACAACACGTGCAATGCAGACCTTCTACAAACTGCTGTGAAACATCAGCCTCAGAGACCTGCTGACAATCTGAACCACGTTTAACTGTGAGAGTTCAATCAGCTCCATTTAAATACTCCTTTCTGCTCCTTTCACATCAAACTGAGAGGCTCACAACTCATTTTTCAGGGTGCAGTTCAAGCGAACTGCCAAATGACCCTGGCACTCAGAGAGGAGTCGCTGTAAGCACGAGTCACGGTTCAGTACAGTCCTCCTTGATGGATTTTCTCTGACAGTCGCACAGTATTCCAGCTGCAACTGGAAAACCTCAATACTTTTAGATATTATAGATTCTGTCTCCCAGCAACCGGCACAGAACTGGGGTGCAGTTTGTATAAATGTGTGTCCTCACTGCTCCCACAGTGTGCACAAAGCATGCCAACCTGTATGCGGAGGCTTAGAGTGAATTAATGAATTAATGGTGGACTCAAAATAAAAAAAAAATTAAAAAGCATTGTTTTGTGGCCATTTTTTTAACATGACCAGTAGGCCTGTCACGATAACCAATTTTGCTGGGCGATTAATTGTCTCAAATTATTGCGATAAACGATAATATTGTTTGAAATTTGACATTAGTAATTATTGTCAAATTTAAGAAGAAATGTTGATTATTTTGTTTTGAGTGTAATACATTTTTTTGACCCTGATGGCAGTATAAGACTGTTTGAACCGAAGGATGGATAGTGAGGGAGTGAGCAGTGTGTCTCTTTAAGAAAAATGGGAGGGAGGCTCCTTGACGTGACATGGGCTGTCTCTCCTTCCGTTTTTTTTGGTTCTCAAAATGGCGGACGTTCGGTGAGCTCTTTAGCATAGCATTTTTCACGCAAAACTTTTAATAAAAAAACAGTAAACAAGTTCTCAGCATCTTTTTGCAGAGAAAAACAACTTTTTACATGAAGACACGAGTTTCAACCGTGAATTTTGTAGCTTCGACAAGATGGAGGTTTTTTCCCCCGAGGTTGGCCTGCTAGCTTAGCTCGTAGCTTAGCTTCTCAGCTTAGCCGCTTTTAACAATCCAAAAACATGATTTTGGATGGTTAAATGGATTTTAAAGAGAAATGGAGGGGTCAGTGAAGAGCAACAGAGTTGAGGCTTTTGTCATCCATTGTCTTCAGTAGAAAGAGAGAGACACGAAGAAACGATAAAGCCGATGAATGAAAATGAGGTTGATAATTTTCATTCATCATGTGATTAATTGATTTATTGTTTATTGTGACAGGCCTAGTCACAAGTCCAACAGCGTCTCAAAGGCTGGAGAAGTTTTAGCTTCAGTTAAATGTAAAACCAGCAGTATATTTCTACATGGGGCCTCGTGATTTGTGCAGATTAGGAGCGACGAGCCAGTTGGCTTCCATGATGCACTTGTGATCAGAACCGGTCTACTCACAGGGGCTTCATGACCCATGTTGGCTTGATTGCCTGGATTAAAAGAAATAACAGGACCTGATCATCCATTATCAAAATGAAATTTCCTTATTTGCAAGAAGCCATAATACTCCTTTCTTCAACAAATATGAAATGTTTTTTTTTACATTCAGTCATAACGATCCAGTTTTTCATTCACTAACTTTTTCTGCTCCTTTTCCGTCATGGCAGTTTGAAAATACAATTAAAAGAAACTAGGTTGGGGAGCTGGTGAACTTAGACAAACATATCCTTTGTCTGGGTCCTTGCAGCTGTTCCAGACATCTGTATCACGACCATTTGGCACAAATACATGTACTGTTACACCCAGAGCACAAAGTATTATTATCCCAGCAAATACATAAATCCAATAAGCGATTTGACAATGCAGGTCCAAGCATCTTCAGAACAAAACTAACAAGCTGAGCACCTCGGGTACAGTAAAAGAGCATGACAAACAACATTTATATAGCTGTAAATCTGACTGTGTACTAGGGGTGTGACAATGCATCGATTTACATCAATTTATCAATTAAATGATTAATGATTCAATTATATTGTGGCAAAACTAAAACATAGATTCATATAGTCATCTTTAAAATACGCTTTTATTTTGAAATTCCCAAGGCACGTCTGTGTCACTATTTCCGTGCGCGGCTGTGCTCTGCGGCCGCCTCAGCAACATGGCAGACGAGGCAGAAAACACAGAAAATGAAATTCACTCTCCTGCTGGATTTAAATCAAAACTGGAAATATTTCAGATTTCAACAGGAGGACGGCTCCACAGACAAAACTCATGTCGTATGCAACAGGTGCCAGAGTGAGTTAAAATACTCTGGAAACACAACAAATTTGGCCGTTCACCTGAAGAAGAAACACAGCATTGATAGCCATGTTATGTAAGCTCAATGTCTATTTTTGTTTCTTTATAACTGAAAGGTAATCAGGACACCTTTAAGTTAACTGGTTTAAAAAATGCACTTAAACATGAGAAATGTGACACTATTCATTGAATAGGTAATTTATTTTTATTTTTTCATTATTAAGATTTTTTTTTTTTTAATTATTTAAATGCCTGGTGCCTGTAATACCAGAAATAAAATGGTTGGATCATATTTGAATTGTTTTTGCAAAGGTATTGATATGTAAATGAGATGGGCATTTGATATCGCGATATATCGATAGCAGACTTGTGAATTGAATAGAATCGAAATCGTATCACGACAGACTTTGTGATAGAGAAAAATCATATTGTCAAAAACAAATCAATATAATATGGTAACGTGGTAAAGCTGGTGATTTACACCCCTACTGTATACTGCTAACATTCTCATTGTAAATAGGAAATAACTCCTGAAAAACAAACTAAAGTCTTCCTCTTTACAGAAACTTATATTTTTGTATTGTGTAGCTTCATGAGGTAGAAGTGATGTGATGCTGTATTTTCTAGTAAACTTAGTAAAACATTTGTTCTGACTGTGGCTGACATCAGAGCAAACTCTGCCCCACTTTTCCCGTCATCTGAGGAGGAAGTGGGTTCTCACTCACCATGTAGAACTGCAGACGGTAGTGCTTCTTCACCAAACTCAGCACGAACATGCAGAAACCTACAAAAACAGAGAATTGTATGAGAGAACGCACTGGAACGTCTGTATGAAGGGGTGAAGTAAAATAGAAATTAGGCCATGTTTGATTAAACCTAAATTAAATTTAGAATGACCTATTTTAAATGTCTGAGATGAGCTCAGGGTTGCTTTCTAACACAGTTAGGGAGAAAGTGCTTTTAATGTGTACAAATGGGTCAAACTGGACACTATAGAAGGGCTAAGCTATTCCAAGCTATCCACTTTCCATTCTAACAGATGCCAGTTTAGAAGAATGCAGCACTGATGAATAAAACTATCAGCTACGTCTCAGCTTGAAAACAGAGGGATGCTGGACCGTTTAGTTTCACCTCATAGCCAGAAGACAAAAGACAGAGTGCTTCCTTCCTCCACACATCCTGTTTGGTGTCAGTCAGACGCTCTAGTAGCATTGTATGAAACGGACATTCCTGCAGCTCAGGAAGCGGGACATCACAGATTGCATAAAAATAAACACTTAATTAAATGTACATTTAAAAAGTGTGCAATTTTTTTAATCTAAATACAAGTTTCTGTTTGAGTAGCTGTGCAAACAAACTACTTTTATTTCCAACAGGTCACAAAGTAAAAGTGATAGATTTTGTATTGTACAGCTGCAGTTAAAATGCTACATCAAACCATTTTCATAAGTCTTAAAAGCTCTGCTCTGTAGCTGAAGACGTTTCTCTTCCCATCCAAGGAGCAAGAAAATGAGGTGTTCATGAGATGTTCTGTTCATGCAGCTAAATTCACGAACGTGCAGATTAATCCCACTCCCCTCCCACCTGAGAGTCATAAGGCTCTTTGTCACCTGTTTTGATCATGAAGGAGTGAACTGAAGTGAAACTGACTGGGTCTTAATGCTCTATTCTAGGTCCACTTAAGGAGTTTACTGCTTGGTGGGGAAACAGTTTATTGGAACTCCTCAGACTGATGAAGCCCTCCAGATAGAGGATGAAATGCCTCTATATAAAAAAGAAACTGTCCAGATGACTAGACTGAGAATTATTGGAAGTGTCTGAGTGCTCCCACGTGTTGTTGACATGAAATAATCACAGTGACAGCTCGTGGCCTGGCATGACAACTGCAGTGGATTTAACATTTTCAGCTCTAAACAGTGGTTGCGGTCACGTTACCATGTAAACATGTAACTTTTCCACAATCAACCTCCGATATCCCCAACATTTCCAGAAATAATTCACATTTAAAAAGGGCTTTAAAAAGCTCAAATGTGATACTGCCTACTCTATATAAAGATAAATGTGCCGAGGAAGATGTTGAGTTCAATGTTTCACACATCAGTGTCATTTTCAGTAAACTACATATGAAACTGATGAAAAATTAAGTTCTGAAAACAAAAGAAAATGTAGACAGGGGGCTGTGTCTTGGAAATAAATACACCCACACACTTCTAGTGGGTCATTAAAAGAGAAGATTGCTCCTAATGCCTTAATTTGTTTTGTCCGGGGTGTGGTATAGTTCATTTACCCTCTCTCCTGCTAAAAATGACTTAACATTCACAACTCTGCTAGTCAGGAGGCAATTACTGCTAAACTGGAAATCTTTAGCTCCACCCACTTAGAAAATGTGGCTTAATGAGGTCCTTAATTATAATAATAAAAAAAAAAAATCAAGCTGACTTTGACCAGTAAGGCTGTATCATTTAAATTCACCTGGAATGTCTTTCTATCTTACATTAATGCCGCAGGATGTTAGATCATATAAAACTGAGATGTTTAATTTCTTATTTTGTTTTGTCTGTCTTTAATTATCTTCTTAAGGGTCATGCCGAGGTGAGGGTATTTCTTTGTTGTTCTAAGATGTCAAAATATAATTTAAAAAGGGTGTTAAACAATTATCTGAAAACTGTACTGTTTTTTGAGAACTGTTTTGCTCATTTATGCCTTCTAAAGATCAGTTCAGTCCACAGTTGTTATTTAAGGTTGCACTGATTTATTTAATTTTGCTCCTATGAATACAGCTGAAAATCTATATAGAGTAACATCCTAAATAAAAATGTTACACTTCTTAACCAAAACATTTAATTATTCCCCATTCATAGCTAGCTATTGACAGAAATTTACATAATCCGGCAGCACATACAGTATCTCATCACTGTTTGCTTACAAATGTGATAAAAAGTATTAGAGCCCGACCAATATATTAGTAGGGCTGATAATTTAGCTGCTATAGATGTTTGGGGACCTATCTGTATCAGTGTCCCATTATGCTCCAATAAACACTTCTAGTTTCACCTGTAAAATACTGGAAACCAGCTGTAATTGTGCAATGTATCCAGCAGAGGGCGCGTGAAGACTATTTTCAAGTCATGACTGTTCACTTAAGTTTCACTTTCAGCACAGACAAAGCAAGGAGCAATACTGTGTAGATTATTTTGCTGAACAGAGCATGGTAAATTTATTTTAACTGATCTGTACAAAAAAAATCAATAATAAATTATCTTAAATCCTCCCACCTACTTGGCATTATCTACGTGCCACTCAAGTTAGCAAGCTAACATGTAGAAAACTAGCATAGGCTATTGCCTTGGAAAACTTTATCCAGAACAATAAATCTAACGTAGAGGTAAAATATATATTTTCTTTATATATATTTTTCGTCCTCAATGAAATGCATTGTTTGTCTGAAATCTTTACTTCTCTGCAAATAAATAAATAAAATTCTGCTGCGACCAATACTAATCACTGGTAGGTCTTCACCATGCATGACTGACTGTTTAAACAATGAACAGGAAAAGGTGTTTCTTTATTAAATTTACATTTTTGTTACACACTTGATAACTTTATGGTGACCAGTGGACGATAGAAAATGTGAACACACATTAGAAAGACTGTTTACATGACCAGTGCATCACTTGTAAACCTAGTTTGGGACTACATATAGCATAGATCTGATTAGCTTAGCTTTGTGGTTGCTAACAGCTGCACTAAATAAGCAAGCCCTGCTCCACTCACTGTTTTCCTACATACTTGGGGGTGGACAAAGCTCAAAATTTTTCATCCATTATATCTGTTATCGACAGCCGCCTACCCCTCCCATTATCGGTACTGGTGATAGCCAAAATTTCCATATCAGTCAGGCTCTAAAAAGTATACTTCTTATACCAAAACAAAATGTGGAATGTGCCCCAAGTTTCTAATTATTAATCCAACGTGTTTGAAACTATTGGCAAAGGTCCATGTAGGTCAGAGTCCCAGCCTGGACTAAAATGTGGAACAAAACTAAGTTTAAGGAGAAAAACTTATACAGGAGAAATAAACATTAAAATATGCTATCATCTTCACTTTGCTTTCTCCATTGTAATTAATGCTCATTAAAAAAATTGAGGTAGGAGATGTGAACATTTTAGGGGCTTCTGTATGGGCCATACCAGAAAAGGTCTGAGAATCACAGGAAATGAAGCGAACAGGTTTCTGTGGCCCAGTGGAACAAGGACGTGAAACAGCTTCACGGGCTTTATTTTCAGTTTTACTGGTTGTATGTGTACCTGTGAGGTAAAGAGCAAAGGAGATAAAACGGTGGTATTTGCTGAGGATGCGGAGCGGCTCCTCTCTCTGCACCAGAGTGAAGAAGTAATCAGTCACGGTCTCGCCGTAAAAAAAGTAGTTCACGCACAGCAGGAAGTACCTGTTGGGCAAAAGGTTGAAACTCACATCCTGTACGAAGCCCATCAGTGGCAGCTAATCAGACTGAAATATGCCTGCAGAAAAACCTGGAAGGCTCACATTTTTAATCTGCCGTGTAAAATTTTGTTCACCAAATTAACTCCTCCTGAAAAATAAAGAATGCTAAAATGTTGTCGTTCTGAATGATCAAGTGTGAATACAATAACGTTTACTTTTCACCAGGTTTTTCAGGCTTGTGGGACGGTAAATATTAGGATTCACACTACACTGCACCCAACTACTGTGAAAAATCAAACAGCACTGACGACGCCATTACTGATTGGCATAATAACCTACAAACTAAACGAGGCCAGAAAACAAACCTCACGATGTCTGCAACAAAATAAACATGATAAAATGAACACAATGATAAGGAAATTGATTTGATATTTGATACTAATGGTTATGTCACTATTGTAGTGTGCATGTGTTTGGGTGTCCTCACCAGCTCAGGGTCCTGAACCAGGGCAGGTCGTAGGAGTGGTAAACACTGTAACCAATCGCGATAATTTCATGGAAGCATTTAATCTGAACACAGAGGACCTGCAGGAAGAAACACATCACCAGAGTCAAACATTACATCCCATGGTGCCCGTGGCGCAGCGAGAGACAGGCCTTCAGCGCATTTGTGGTAATGCCTTCCATCCAAATGATAATCTTGGAGAAACATATAAATCTTAGTTACCGTCTGATTATGTTACTTTATTTTTGTTTTGCAATTCAGTGACTCGTCAACAAGAAGGGCTTCTCAGGGCTTTTTATGTATCAAGTACTACATCGAAATTGTGCCGTCATTTTTTTATAGTCACTAACTCACGGAGAGAATTTTGCGAGTTTGTGAGAAAAAAAATTAAAATGTTAAACAGAGACGCAGATCTCTGTTATAATCTGTGGCATATAAATATTCATCTTTTAGAATTAAAACTTATTTAGACAAATGAAAGCAACAAAAACAGCCTCCCTCACTGAGAGTAACGCAACAGGCTGCGCGCTCCCACGTCTCTGCCTCTCTCTCAGATCCGGAGTTTGGTCTCATGCGCAAGTTGCACGTCTGAACGACGATGACGCTCCCAACGCATTAACATTTAATGCAAAGTTGGACTTTAATACAAAAGTCCCGGGAGGTCAGGGAGCGGAGCGGGAGGAGGCGGTGTGGTGATGGTGGATCAGTTCTGGTGTCTCCCTTGGCTGCAGTGAATTGTTCACGTGCGAACACATACGTTTAACATGTAGACATTTAATAATTTATTACACGTCAACACCTTTATGGGGGGTGGGCTGTTCTGTTGGGGTAGCGGGGTGTCCTCGTTGGCTCGATACAGGTGAGCGTTCACCTGCAGTTTCTCTCTGCTGCTTTGCGGGCTCACTGTGATCCAGACAGGAGGGCCCGCCCTGCTCTGCTCTGATTGGGTCAAACTGTGGCTCTGGTGCTCTTCATTTGTTGAAAGCAGCATCAGTTTAATTTATGCATCATTATTAGATTGGATGGCTTTAACAAGACCACAACAAAACCCTCCTCATTTTTACAGATGATGGAAATCCGTCCTGACCACGTTCAGAACGACAGAAATCTGTTGCAGCAACAAAAAACTTTAATCCATGCAGGTATATTTTTAAAGAATTTCCCAAAGACAAGAGCTGAGAACCTACACTTTAATAGATGTTGCAACAGACTGTTAAACAAGGAAAAAAACAAGGAATGCTAGGAAACGCCTTGTATCTGTGACCTTCCTTCCCTCCATTGATTACGGTGACATTATTTACATGAACGCTCCTACAAGAACCCTGCAGATGTTGGATGCTGTCTATCATGGTGCACTAAGATTCATAACTGGCTGTGATTATCGTACCCACCACTGCACCCAGTATTCACTGGTTAACTGGACATCATTAACTTCACACAGACTCTCTCACTGGTATATTTTCATCTTTAAATCACTTCTTGGTCTGCTGCCTTCATACATCTCTTCCTGCAAGCCTGTGTGTGAGTGCAGCTACAGCGTGCGCTCTCAGGACATTATTACCTGCAGTGTTCCATCAGTGAGGACTGAACTTGGCAAAAGGGCCTTCTCCTACTCCGCTCCTGTTTCCTGGAATATCTTACAAAAAGATCTGAAGCTCTCGACCTTGACCTCTCTAAGTGGCTTTAAACATCTGTTAAGTTCATGGCAAAAACCAACGCAGACGTGTTCCTGTTTTAAGTATTTTACATTGCCTTACAATCTAGTTGGGTTTTTTTTGTTGCTACTTTTTCCTTTTCACTGTCCTTTTGGTTGCTATTTTAATTTGTAAAAAAAAAAAAATAATTATTATTTGTATGCCTCTTTTTTGATTGTTTATTGTTGTCCACTGTTGTCAACATTCTTTGTTAAAATCAGGTCTCTCTTGTAAATGAGTCCCCGAGGCTCAATGGGATTAGCCTGTTTAAATAAAGGTTGAATGAAGGAAAAAATGCCAAAGAAAACACAGTATTTCTAATATCATTGAGCAAATGGAATATTCCTGTTTCTAAAAGCTAAAATAAAGAAGTGTAATAACTTCAAAACTCTGCATCTGACTTATTGTGTCATTGTGTGAACACTAACATTCTTTAGGCCCATTTCAAAGTCTCAAAACAGCTGCCTCAGATCACCTGGGGAATGAATGAGCACAATTTGCTTTTCAGCCCAATACAATCTGGTGAGATTAAGACAGATCGAAGATCTTTGTCTACTTTGATTAAAGTCTGAAGAAAGTTTGAAACAAACAAACAAACAAAAAAAGCACAGAACACAAAATTTTGCTAATTCAATTAAGAGACCCGTGACAGCAGAGAATATAAAAACAGGGAGTTGATGAGCAGGAGAGTGCAAATAGATTTTCACTCACTGAGACAGCTCAAAGGAAAGATCCTGCTGACTTAGCTTGTTGCAACAAAGTGACTAGATTAAGTCATTTGTTCTGTGTTGTGATCTCTTTTTGTTTTTGCTCTGCTGGTAAAATCTGTATTTATTTTCAGATAACATTAGGATTTTTTTAACTGCATTCTTGCCACTGATAAGATGCTAATGTGACACATATTCAGTATAACAACAAATTCAAACGTTATGGCTGTCCATGGGGCAAACTTGGATGGAGATTAACATCGACAACAAGTTTACATCACACAACTGCAGAAGAAATAGCTGCCAAACTCTCAAGTACTGCTTTAAAAAGAACTACTTAAAAAGCAAACAACGGTTAATAAAAGTTAAGATGTTTTGGAGAGATTTTGTCCTTTGTTTGTACTCACAATCATCATAAGAACCATGGGACCCAGGTAGATGATGATGAAGAAGAAGGAGATCATGGCTAGTGTGAGGATGCCTCGAACCCACCAGTTCTTCCACCTGAGACAGCAGACATACGTCACTTTAAAATTCAAATGAATCAACACAGACTCCAGACACACGGACATACTGTGTCTTTCTGGATGTACATGTTAGTGCAGCATCAAAATCAGCAAATGTGCTCATACCCATGGACCACATGAATGTGTGATGAAATGATAGAGCAAAATTGAGTTTTTTCAACCCAGAAATAATCCCCTGCATGGAGCTCAGTAGCTATTAGTTCAGCATAAAACGATTGTTCTAGATAGCTACAACCCAGCGCACTCAGTTTCAGTGAGCAGAAGAATCACAAAGCATTCATTAGGACATGTAGATCATAGGATGGGAGTTTACCTTGAGGAGAGCCCAGACAAGGCCTTGTTGAGAACCTCGGGGGTGTCATCAGGAGGAACCGGCACCAATGGGACTCCAGAATCCACCTTGGATTCGCGATCAGGAATCCCATCTTTGTCTGCCTTCAGCTCACTGTCTGAACCCTGACACACACACAGGTGAGAGCAGACTGTCAAAACACAGACTTGGGTTTTGCAGCATTGGGAAAACGTGTAGCTTCGGACAAATGTTGTTTTATATGTAGGTAGGTAATTCCACATGACACCTTTGAAGGAGGAATCCCACAAATTAAAACACGAAGAGAAAGAAAGCCTATGAGCATTTCAATGTTAAGGCCAGTTTGTTGTGATGAGTTGCATATTTTTCAACTCATTTAGGAAAGTAAATGGTAAATGGACTGTACTTATATATCACCTTTCTATCTAATCAAGACACAAAGCTCTTTACAACACAATCTGTGTCCTCATTTATCCATTCATACAGCACTCTAGATATTTATAATGACTACTCAGAGCTTTAGATCACATTCATACACAGATGGGACACATCAGAGGCAATGAGGGGTTCAGTGTCTTGCCCAGGGACACTTCAGCATGTAGCTGCTGGTGGAATCGAACCCCCAACTCTCCCATTGGAGGAAGACCCTTTAATCAGTCAGCCACAGCTGCCCGAGTACAAACAAAACAGTGAAATGTTCCACACAAACACGCTTAACTAAACATCAGGCTACTAAGAATATGAACCTAATATTTGCTCAATGTTGTGATATGCAATAAGCTGTGCTTTCTTTTACGTATTATATACATCTGGAAAGTATTCACAGCTCTTCATTTTATTATGTTACAATCTTAGTCTGAATTGGATTAAATTAATCTCTTTCCTCAAAGTTCTACACACAACACTCCATTATGACAATGTGAAAAAAGATACGAGATCTTTTTCAAATTTATTAAAAACTGAAAACTATGAATTCACATTTACATAAGTATTTACAGCTTTGAATACTTGGTTGACCCTGGCAGTAATCACAGTCTCCAGTCTTTTTGAACATGATGCTTCAAGCAGAGTACACCTCTCTTTAGACAGTTTGGATCATTTTTATTTGCAGAACTTCTCAAGCTCCATCAGGTTGGATGGGAGACGTCTGTGCAGCCATTTTCAGATTTCTCCAGAGATGTTACTGTCACGATAACAAATTTTGCTGGGTGATTAATTATCTCTGAAATAATTGCAATAAACGATAATATTGTTTGAAATTTGACAATAATTGGTAATTATTGTCAAATTTAAGAAGAAATGTTTGTTAATTTGTTTTGCGTGTAGTACCTTTTTGCAATTTGAACCAAAGGATGGATCATGAGGGAGTGAGCAGCGTGTCTTTTTAAGAAAAAAGGGAGGGAAACCGCTTGACGTGACATGGGCTGTCTCTCTTCGGTTCTCAAAATGGCGGACGCCCGGTGTGGTTTGAGCTCTTTAGCATAGCATTTTTCACACAAAGCTTTTAATAATAATTAAAAAAAAGTTCTCAGCTTCTTTTTGCAGAGAAAATCTTTTTACACAAAGGCGTGGCTTTGAACCGTGAATTTTGGAGCTTCAACAAGACGCAGGTTTTTTCCCCGAGGTTGACCTGTTAGCTTAGCTTGTAGTTTAGCTTCTCAGCTTAGCTGCTTTTAACGATCCAAAAACACAATTTTGGATGGTTAAAATGGATTTTAAAGAAAAAAGAGAAAGGGAGGGGTCAGTGAAGAGCACCAGAGTTGAACATTTTGTCATCCAGTGTCTTCAGTAGAAAGAGAGAAACACGAAGAAAAGATAAACCGATAAATGAAAATGAGGTTGATAATTTTTATTTATCATGCGATTAATTGATTTATTGTTTATCGCAACAGGCCTATCCAGGACCTTCACAGAGTGGTCCTGAAGCCCCTCCAGGCCCTTCACAGAGTGGTCCTGAAGCCCCTCCAGGCCCTTCACAGAGTGGTCCTGAAGCCCCTCCAGGACCTTCACAGAGTGGTCCTGAAGCCCCTCCAGG